AAAAGCTGGCCCCATGCATCAAGCTGAAATATCGCTTCCTCGCGTAATGCTTGACAAATGTCTTTCCTCCTGCTATTTTACTGCCTTTTGCTTTTGATGTTAGCTGGGTTGTAAATAAAGTCTCCTGATGTCTGCCAAGTATTAATCCATGTCATTAATGAATTAGCCCTGCGGAAACGCATCTGCACACTGAAAAGCATCAATCGTCACCTTCTGTCTTGCGTTGTGAATCTTTAAGGAGGCCTGGGGGCTAGCCAAGCTGACATCGTCAATGCAGAAAGAGCATTTCCAGTAACACCTGTGCATAGATTAAATTTGGCAGTTGGAAGAAATATTAGAAAGTTTAAAGGAGTGTAACCCTTACAAATAAGACTAGTGTAGGACCCAAGGTCTTGGGGTCTCTATGACAACCATTAGACATGTTCCTGCCAGGAAAGTAGTGTCTAATCGGAAAGTGTCGCTTGTCAAGATGTAGGAGCTTTTTCTGAAACTACACTGTGGTATGATGAGATCAAAAGTCCTTTGGATCACACTTGTCAATCTGTGAAGTACATTGTTTATAGAACCGACACTGATTGGTAGTGAGGGGGTTTAGCAAGACCTTTAAGTTTTTTGATTCCTCCTCAGCCGCTAGTTAAACACTCGTAACAAGCATAAAGCCGGGGGCAAGGAGGGATTTGCTGAACATACACAGCACAGACAGCAGGAGCAAAAGCACAGTCCGCAGGTGCAAGGAGAGCAGAACCACCTGATGAGCTTTCAGGGTCGGTCTAATCTGGGAAATAGGTTATCTGCCAGATCCTGATGCAGATAATAACATGCTGAGGATGGCAGACAACTTTTCTTGTATTTTAGCAAAATATGCAGGCTTCTGCAGAGCTGTCTATTAATTCTAGTTGTTGGGGCAAAGGTGTGTCTAAAAGTTGCAGTTCATTGACTCTTGATAACTAGAATTAGAGAAACCTCATATAGAAACTATGGGAGGAATAATCAGGGACAAAGTGCCCTATCCTATTGGAAAAGAATGTGTTGCAAAGTATTAATAGAAAACTCAAATTTGGTGGAAAGTTGATTTTCTACTAGGATTACAATCCATAACTTTAAGGCAATCCGATAGAACTCACACGTAAATCACTTAACATTATGATGGCATTAACTGACCTTTGGCCTTCGCAGTCTAATCCCTAAAAGGTGCACTCAGTAATTCTGCTTATGCTATACAATAGGTATAAGAAAAGAAAAAAATTCCACAAGTCAACCTGATTAAATTCAACAACAGGACCTAATAGCTACCACTTAGCACAAAGCAATCAAAGACACCCCACAATTTCTCTGTCAGTGTCCAGACTGCCCAGAGATTCCTATTTCATTAAGAAAGTCATTTAACATTGTGGTTGATTGCATGAGTCAAACTCTTGCTTATATTAGTCTGTAGAAGAGCAAAGTGCTTTTTTTGGACAAAGATTGTCATAGTTCTTAGTTTTTCTCACCAAATGTAGCATAACAAAAAGTTAGACAGATCTCTAAAGGAGATCGTAAAGCCTTCATCCTTGACTTTCTTTCAACAGTCTGAACTAAGGTAGCCACCATGTTGCTTCCAAGTTAGTCTCTTATCACAAACAAGTAGCTTTCATTTCATTAGTGAATAAAAAACTGTTTGGTCAAGAAAACTGGCCAAGAGTCCAATCTAGAAATGCCTTAACCTGACAGGATCATAGAGAGAAGTCTTATGACCTAAGAAGAAAAAGTATTAGACCAACTAAAGCCATTTACCGGTACAATAATTTCGACACTTTGGATCAGCAGAGCAGGCTGATCAACGAGTCTGTCACATTGGTAGAAAGTGTAAAATAGAATTTGGAGGCAGGCAACATAAATATTAAACTGTCTCGCGTCCAAAGAGAGGTTAGGGTTAAGGGCAAGGGCAAAGATTTATCACATGTATAAAGAAAATGTGTATTCCAACTTGTTTCTTTATTATAATTTAGGTTATCATTGCTCACTCCTGGAGTGAAACTGAAAATCCTGAGTATATCCTTTCACATTTCATGGCTGATTCATCAAAATGACTTTGAGAAGTTATACTAAAAAGATCTTTAATGAAAGCATTAGGAAATTGTTGAAGTGGCTAAGCTTTAGTAGAAAATCCTGATAAAAAATAATTAATTTCTTTCAGCAGTTTTTACAAATCACCAGCTTTTGTCCATTTAAAAAGGTTTAAGTCTTATCTTCACTGGCTGGTCTTGCTCCTACACCCACTGGCTGCAGCTTCTTCATTACACTATCGAACATATTTTCCTAACCATTACATCCAATATAGATTAAAGTGACGTCCAGAACAATGTTAATTCAATTAACAATGTTGGGATCTGTGCAGAACAGGAGCATTGGTGGGAAGAGCTTCAGGGGGAGTAATGGATTTATGCCTCAAAATCAAGCAAATTTTCACAACTCTTACAGAGGATGACCAAATCTGGAGGATTTAGGATAAACAAACGCAGCGCACATGCGTCATGCACTTCTTGGTTTTCTGACTCTGAGGAATTAACCTTCCATGTGATCAAAAACAAACAAACAAAAATTACACATACTCTATCACAGATAGCCTCTGCTCCTGCTATGAAGCTCCCTTACATCATGTCCTATATTGACAGTTGTACAGGCAATATGTCATGCAGCCTAATTTCCAAAATGAGAATTACATCATGTTTAATCCTTCTTCAACAGGATTAGCAGCAGGTAAGACAGAGATCTCAAGCACCTAATGAATTACATTAAATGAGATTTGGCTGCACTCGCGGTTCACCACTGTAGACTCATGGGAGCTTCCAAGTCTGGATCACAACATAATAACATCTGACTGAATTTAAGTGAATTAATAAACTCAAATCCATCTAGAGTGCGTACCAAAAATATTCACCCATCATGATGTTTTTTGTTGCATTTATGCTTCACATTTTATTCAAATTTTACCAACACAGCAGAAATAAATATCTTTTCCCAAGCAAGATGACTTAATAAATTACACAACTATGTCTACTCTCACTTTCTTCTTTCTAAAAGCAGGAGATGCTCCAACTTCTCCCAGAGCAGGAATGCATCTCTCAGTCAGAAATAACCAATTGGAGCGAGGAGGAGGGTCTTAATGTTGTCAATTAAGCTTGAGTATGCTTCTCAATGTGCTAATGGAAGAGAAACAGCTTAAACATTTTATTCGCTGCCACTGGTGGCTATATATACTAACTAACTTTAGCATTCATGGTACACTATGTTGTGGTGAATCAGCTGCAGCCCAGCAGACAGGAAGAGGAGGGGTTTTTATTAAATAAAGGTCACATACTGCAGCTTTAAGAGGAAAAAGGCACTTTCATATGATTATGAGAATTTATTTGATGACACTGTGCAGCAAAAAAAAAAAAAGAAAGAAAGAAAGAATGACAGCAATAAGTTTCCGAGCAGCTATTAGGCTTTGACAAATCAAGGATGGAAGGGGAATAAAGGAGCATCTCAGGAAGAGTCTATTTGTCTTCATATGATGGAGAGCCCACATCCTCAGATAGTGATGTATTCATACAGCACAAAACAACTCATTCAGCAAGTAATTTGCAGTGATGTGGGGAAATTTATCATGTGGCAGATGTTTTGGGGAAGGGCGGGGGTCTGTCGCCCCCAAGCAGACACACAGGTGCAGGTGTCAGGGGGATGCAGTTTACAACTGTGACAATGATGGCAAACAGCTGGTCCTGGAGTCGTTCCCTATGACCTCTACGCATTTGAATCACAACCCTTTGAATAAACCTGTCACATGTGGTTAGGTTTGGGCTGCTGGGGCAATTTCCCAGCGCCGGCCACCCCCTCTCTCCCTCCTGTCTGCTAAATGTGCTGCGCTGGTGCCGGCTTCTCCAGGGAACTCGTCCCGACAGTGCAGACTGTTTGTGCTGCCGACGGGTTCACAGGAGAGTGCAGGTGAGGTGCATGGCCGCATCGCGACGGCGGCTACAAAAACCACCAACATGTTTTTTATGCAACACGTTTTACCTAACAGGACAAGAAGTGAAATATGGTGATGCGTTTGGGGGCATGCACTTTTTAAATTGACCTCTGTCTGGCTCATGATAGATAACCTACAGAAAACCTTTCACCTACATTACACAGACATAGTTGCTCATCATGAGTTGGATGTAGTCTGGTAGCTTCCACAATAAATCACCTCCAGCATCAAAATCATCAGCAAAGTATCAGTGAAACAAACTAATGCTTTGGTTCAGTCACATGACATTGAAATGACGAGAAAGAGAAGCTAAACACATTTTTACATATGCGTAGAATATGAAAATGATGATGTTGACTGTAACATGGTCTGTGTTGGTGACCAAAAAGAGCTTTTTGAACATTTTTTAACTGTAATGGAAGAGGTCTAAAGGCCATTGGAGAGAGAAAAAAAAGCAGCGAAGTTCTGCTAAGAAACTAAAACATTTTCTAGAAAAATTTGAAAAATTCTGAGTTTGACAAGATTCAATTTTGCTGAAAAAAAACAAACTACAAAATGTCTTATTTTAATATCAAAAAATTTCCAGAAAAAGAAAAACAAACATACTCAGAAATTTCTGAGCTTGAAAAGTCAATAACTTTACAGGCTTCCAAGATTATCCTGGAAAGTTTTTGAGGTCAATTATCAAAATGTCAGATTTTCGTTTTCTAAAAAAGTTTGTGATTTTTAAAATCCATACATTTTCAAGATATTTCTAAAAAAAAAAAATCTGAGATTAATCTCAAAGAGTTTTTTCCTTTAAGTTTTAAACTTTTGAAGCTCAGAAATTTCTGAGTTTTTTTTGGCTGAAATTTACTCCTTTTTCTTCCATCTACAATGGCTCTAATTCACCGTCATAAATAAGAACTGATACTGTTGTGCACTACTTTAGTGATGAGTGATAGCACTGCAGTAGAATTAGCTGCTACTGTCCAAAATCAGAGCTTATTTTGGCTGCCAGAATACTTACATATTCACCGTATGTGTCCTGCACTATGGGTGGAGCTGCCCTGTAGCTAGCAGCTGGAGGGGCGCCTCTGGCTCTTTGGACTCCTCTTCCTCTGGAGGATGGGGCCCGACTGGGCGGAGATCCTCGTGGCGCCGCTCCTCGGGGAACTGCTGCATGCAGCGGTGGAACTCCTCCACGACTCCTGACAAGACAGGCAGCAATCCTCCGTGTTTGAATAACGAAATTAAAGATGTCAGATCAGAGAGATGATATACTCTGAACTACTGGAGATAGGAGGAAGCAAACAGAAGCTTCCACATTAATCTGCAGCACCGCTGTTAATACCGCTTTTATTGCAGTGGCGCAAAAATTCAACCAGGAAAACCATATCACTCAGGAAAAAAAAAATCTCATATTAGGAGTTAATTGTTTTTAACAAATTACAAGTGGCACAACTGTCAATGTTCTCGACAAGACTGTGGGGAAATTAATCTTAGATCCTAGCGAGTCCAGGAAACAGCAACAATATGTTTAAGAGGTGTTTTACTTCATTATTTTACCAGGAAGTCCCTTGAGATGAAGGTTATTATTCAAAGTAGACCTGGCCAAGAAGAACATTAGTGCATATTGTTTTAAAACAATCATTTAATTCTACAGACAAGAGTAAAAAGCTATGAACCATACATATCCACATCTAGACTGTGAATACTCCATGGATGAGTGTGACATTTCGGGGGTATGATAACCTTGTGAAAAGGTTAGAAAATCATGGTACTTGCACAAAACTGAAAACAAAAAATGAATGGCGTGACCTATATATAAATATTTATTAGTCATTTGAAATGGAAATTGTTATTGAAATAATAACATTTTACATATTATCCGTACATATGTATGCTTATTTTGACTTTCAAATGAAGAGCTATGGAAAACTTTAGAATTAAACACATTAAATTAAGTAGTTTCAAACTTTAAGTGTTTATTGGAGTATTTTCCAGGCTATCTGTACTAGCCTGAAACTTGCAGTGTAACAGAAATGGGATTGTAATATGTCAACTTTATTTTAAAGTGTTGTAAAATGATGTTGATGCCCTTGGAACTATTTCCAAAGAGCCAAACGTGTTTTTTTTATATCAAGAGAAACATGTCGTTGCCTTCTTTCAGCTAGTAACTCAGCAAGGGAAAGGGGAAGCAGCTTTATGATGTCTTAACAGTTTTGAAGCTATATTTCAAATTTAGATACTTGTCTTAGCACTTTTATACCTTTGTCAGATAGATCGCGAACAGGAGCGATCTTTCTTTAAACAACCTGGAAATTTAAGGCTGACCTCAAACGCGATGGACGTTGTAAGATGCTTTGGGTTGGTTTCACTTCCAAAGTTCCCAGGACCTTTATTTGTGGGTTTTATATCAATAATTTATTGAAATACTGGTCAATTTTATTTTAAAAAATCTGCTGGCTTCTGCAGTAAACCTCAAGTTGGTCACAACTGAGTCAAAACGATAATGACCCACAATAATTGGGTGTGAAAAACAAATACTTCTTGACATATGTTTTTTCCCCCTCACTAAATAAATATACTGAATTAAAAAATGTGTTTTCTGTCAGAATGTACGACCGTCTTTAGGAAAGCTTTTATTTCAAGACTGTTTATACGTCTTTACCAGAGATGTCAACGTTTCGAAGGGACCTTAACATGGTGTCCAAGGCGTTAGAAGTTATAGTTATAATTAGCACAAAATGAAATACCCATTGCGTCCCACATATTCTCGAGGACATTCTCTAATTTATCTATTTTGCTGCCTTTGCTGCCTCTTCTACCTCCACTCGTGTTAGTGATTTCCTGCTTTGGCCGGAACGACTCAACTAAATCCAGAAGAGACGAATATGATACGGTCGGCAGGCAGGTTATAGGTGTAGGAGGAGAGAAAGGAACAGCGCAGGCGGAGGGCATGTTCCTCCAGTCGAGAAAAAGTGAGTCATATCCATTACTCAAAGCCGCCATGTCTTGTGGCTGAATTGCTCTCCTGTCTATTAAGAAAAATGTAGATGGAGAAAAAAACTGTTATTTCTATATGCTTTATGTTCGGTCCTTTTTGTCTGCATCTCATGTAAAAAGTGACGCCTTCAGTGTTGGAAAGTAATTTAAAGAGGCACTACTATCAGAACTAATTCATGCTTCATATATTCAAATGCAATACTAAAAATGAAAATTTGGTCTAGTGTGTTCCCTCTTCTCCTGATTCTGGTTATTTTTCAGGACATTTTGTCTTAAATTCAAAATATCAGACAAATTATAACTATCAGACAATGATAGATTAAGTAAATATAGAGAGCAGTTTTAACATAATGTCATTTATTAATTTAAAAAAAAAAAATCCAACATAATAAACCTGGCTCTATGTGAAAAATTAGTTCCATATGTCAAATCCTTAATTAATTGCAACTAACCTAATTTTTGGGGAAATTGAGTTCAATTTCACAACCCACAGATTACTGCCCGACCTGGACAATGAAGAAAGCCTCTTAAGTCAGACTACATCTTGATGATCCAGGACTTTTGTAAAACTGTTGATGAGATATAATGGGAATTGTTCCATTATAATCAGAGAAAAACTGACATTCGATCAATGGCATAATGGTTTGTTGCTGTATTGCTGTTTCAGCTGTCAGCTTGTAGCCTTAAGCACAGCACACTTGAGTTGTACAGAAGGACAATAATCAAAAGTAAATCAGCAAGCCCAACTTTCAATGGCTAAAAAACAAACCAATGCACTTAGCTATGTATCCTAGTCAAATCTAAATTTAATTAAAATAGTGTGACATTAACTGAATTAGCTCATTTATGGTCAAAAACTTTCCAATGTGGCAGAATTTAAACAATTCTATATTGAGTGGTGGTCCAGAGTTCATCCATACAGTGATTGGGATACTTCACAGGATAGTTGTAAAGTGTTTATGAGGTAGTTAGTTTTTTAAAGTAGGACCAGGTTGGTTTAGCTGTAGAGTGGACCCTCGCATATCGCTGATGCAGGTTTACAAAGATTTTCTTTTTATAGGGTATATCTAAAACATTCAAAGGGAATATAGTTAGGGAAGGTAAAAACCCAAGACCGACTGCTTCTTAACATGCAGCTGGCTTGTATTTGCAAAGGAGCCAATCCAGGAGCACCATTTATTTTCCTTAGCACTGATTATCCCCAAGAGTGGAAATAAGGACGATTGTAGCTATTAGCTTTAGCAGTGTTGGTATGTGCGTACTTATGCATACGAAAGTACACTAGGTGTTTGAACTATTAAAATAGGCAGTTCAATGTGTTTTCAGAGGGGATCTCAAGTAAAATACAGTTGGGTATGGACCCTAACTTTTCTTTTCCCCTTTAAAAACAAAAAGCAGTTTTCAAATGATTTTAAGACTCATTTCATTTTTGTCTGATGTTTAATTTCTTTAATGACCTGAATGATCTAAGCAGAAAAAAAGCAGCAAAAAAAAAAAAAAAAAAAGACAAATCTGTATGGGGGTGAATTCTTTTTTATAACCATTAGTATTTTTCTGTCTTCATTATTTTAGTAACCAAAATAATGTCACTCTTGGACAGAGTCTCTTAAACAAATTAAGCAGCCCAGACTAGCCTGCACTTTGAATGAAGAGAACAGCAATTGCAAACTGCTCTTTTTGGGAATCAAAGGACTCCTGACCTTGTGGTTTATTAAAACGTTGCATGAGCTCTTCGCCTCAGCTGTCTTTTGAAAGCAATCGTCTGATCTGAAGCAGCAGCAGAAAACCACCAAGGTTGCCATCCAGACAAATTGCTTTCTATGTTTTCAGCAGCTCTCCATGCGTCTGCGGTGAAAGATCCCATATATGGGAGAAGAGCTACATCGAGACAGAGAGAAACTTTGACGTAATGTCTAATGGGGACGGCGGGAGATGTGGATAAGAAAAGTAGCAGCTCTTCTTTGAAAGGAAGGACTTCCCTTTCAGTCACAGCCCAGGGAAGAAGGGCAGAGATGAGAAACTTGATCAAAATTGTGCATTAGTGAGCGTGAAAACGTCCTGCGTGGGAGCCTGCGGGACCACAGAGTTATAACACTTAAATTAGGCATGGTAAATGCTAATTACAGCATAATTCAAAACACTGCCAATTATGCTGTAACTCAGAGCGGGATGAGCGCGTCGTCTTAGTGACCTTGTTTATCTCTAAATCGTATGAGGGAGAAGTTTCTTTCATAACCAAGGAGAGAAAACAAACCCTTAATATTATATTTTTGCTTCTTCAAAGCGCAGCAGCAACACAGACCACAGTAAAATTGTTAGACTGCATACAGAATCTGGACTTACCATGAATACTTTAAGATGTGAGAGGGTCAAAACCCACAGAGAACGGTTTTGAATTCATGCAAAAGCAGGATAGTTTTCTAACTTAGTGTAATCAGCTGTTTCAAGGTTTCTTTTGCACTAAAACATTGAGAATTACGAGATACCAATATCAGATTGTGATAAGTTGATACAAAGTGATGCAAAGCTAGTAGTTGTAAAGTTAAAAAAAAAATCATAAAACCAACAAAAAAGGGTGCATAACTGTAAAGTAGAAGGAAAACATAAAATGTTTTATTTTTAACATTTCTTTAACGGTAAAACTATAAAGTCTAATCTTCTAAATATTGATTTTGAAATATTGCACAACTCTATTGAACAATTTTGGAAAAAATTAAGAGGCCACTGCAAAATTATTAATTTCTCCAATTTCACTGTGTGTATATGTATATATATATGTGTGTGTGTAGGTGTGTGTATGTGCGTGTGTGTGTGCGTGTGCGTGTGCGTGTGTAAAATGCACATTGTTCTTTTATTCTATGAACTATTCTATGTCTCAGAAATTTCAAGCAAATACAATTCTGTATTTATTTGCAGAAAATGAGAAATGGTCAAAATAACAAAAAAGATGCAGCACTTTCAGACCTCAAGTAATGCAGAGGAAACAAGTTCATATTCATTTAGAAACAACAATACTAATGTTTAACTGAGGAAGAGTTCAGATATCAGTATTTAGTGGAAAGTATTTAGGCTTCAATGGGGTTCAGTGCAGGGGGCTGAAAGAACTGCATTATATATTTTAAGGGTAACAAAGTATAGAGCATTGAACATATATAGAGATTCATACCGTTCAGATTATTTGTAAAAAAATAAAAACAAAAATAAAAATCCTTTCAATATGCAATAATGCACAGCGTAGAAAAAAATTACACTTTTGCATTTTGGCATGATTGGAAAGATTTGGAATGTTAACATTTTGACTACATTGAGCCTCAGCTCAGGAGGTGACAGTTGGATGCCAAAACACAAGGAAGAGTGAATAATTTCTCACACATACAAAACCTCCCACATGACTGAAGATTGTTAAATTAATCTGCCCACTCAAGTCATCAAGAACTTTGCTACTGTTCGTAGTTCTGTTCCAGATTATGGTTTTACAGCTCCTGTTGCTAAACAAACTTATGTTTTGTATGTTGCTGTGTCTATGATTAATTGATACACCAGGTAGGTAAACAGAAATCTTTAAACTGTGGTGATTACTGAGGAGAAACACATTACCAGATATTCCCAACAGAAAGGAGAGCGCAATCAATCAACTAGTCAAACATACCATCCTTCATTTTGAAAATACCAGCTCTGTTAAGAATCACAGCAAAAATACAAAATCAAGCACCTGGCAAACTGTTCAGTATTCAGCAGAACATTCAGTTTGTTGCTGTAGTATGATTTTAGACTTAATGTTTATTTTGCAATTATTAATAAGTGATTGCTGTGGAGAAAACTATAAATATATCATTGCACTTTACTGTATGGCTAGCTCGCTGTCTCTTACTCTGCAGTTGTGGAGTCAGTTGTCTGGGATCATGAGCGCCCCCTGCCATGAGGCAGGAGAACTGCCTGCCTCACCTCAAGTCTGTTCTCTGCCGTTTCTGATCGCTCCTCAGCACACGAAACACGTTACACTCACAGTTGGTGACAAATAACACAGAACATTACAATACATTTTATAAATAAGCTAAATTATTGAAAATCAGCTGAATCACAGTCCACAGTGAGGGTCTGCCCCACTTGCCTCCCCTGAGCGCACGTCACTGACTCACACTCACTGCTAAGGGCAATTAAAACAAGCTGATAAACTTAGCATGCATCATTTTAGACTGTGAGAAGAAACTGGAGTACCCAGAAAAAAAAACACATGAACAGTGTAGCCCATGTAAAATAACTATTTATTAGATTTGAAAATGATGCAGTTGTGGGACCTATAATGGTGCATTCACACCAAATGAGTTATGCGCGTCAAAACTGCATCCGATGCGTCAAGTTCGACGCTAGTGCACTTTGAATTCAGGCGTTTGACACTTTGCTCTACACCTGGCGTTTTGTGTGTCGGGCGTGTCTGGTTTGCATTCAAAGTCTACGTGGAGGTGCGTCAGATGTGTCAAAATCGCGCTAGATGTTGATTTGTCAGATACGTTGAACACTCTTGACGTGTCAAATGCTCCAAACGGTTCAAATTGTGCCGCAACATGTCCTCAGCGCGCCTCCACATAGTCTTTGAAAGTAAACCAGAGGCACCTGACAAAACTGGAAAGGAGGCATGAACATGGTCCTCTCTCAGTGTGGAAAAAACACATTAGATGAGCATTACACTCTGGATGCTAAGAGCACATGTCCTTCAGCACAAAGTACGTGTGTGTAAGAGAGAGTGGACAGGCTTAAGTTTCTCAAACAGCAGATCTCTGATAACCACACCTGGTCAGACAATACCACTTTCAGAAGAAACTGAAATTCCCCACCAATATCCACACAACATTTTATAGATCTATTGTTAAGAATAACAGCAACTTTAATATGACAGAGAAAAGGGGCCTTGCTGAGCATGGTGAGGGGAAATGAAAGGGTCATTCCAGTGGGCTACCCCTCACTCCAGGATATCACTCTGGATATCACATCCAACCCAGGAACTTTCTTAACTACAACTATCAAGGGTAACATCATAAAATTAGGAGCAGATCCATCAGCCTGGTTTAAATCTTTCTGCCTCAAGCTGTTGAAATGCTAAAATGTATTCATTCAATATGTTGAATTTGCATTGTCTAGTTCTCCATCGAATTATATATGCAGGCAATGATTTGTCACCATTTCCACAAGCAAATGGCTGAACATTATTCTGAAACATAATGAATCTTTATTTACTTCAGGAAAACATTTCCATTGCTTTACTTTAATACAACTGCCATATTTTAACGTTTTTTTACACATATTGGATATGTGACCATGACATGACCAAGTTTAATTATTTGCTAGTTTTTTGTGATTAACGTGAGTCAATGGAACAGCCTTGTAAAACAGTTTGATAATAAACTGTTTGTAGGCTATTTCTGCCGCAAGCTCATGCATAAATGCCTCTTCTCTTATTTTATTTTATTTTTTTCTTAGCGTAGTAACTGAAAGAAGATCATCAGCAGCAGATCTCTAAGATGCAGCGTGTTCAACAGCAGACCACAGCAGGGACCCGAAATTAATAATTTCAGGGTCACATACAGCTTGTTAAGGAAATCTGCTTTCACTCCCACTTTTATGTGAAACCATATGTTCAGGGTTTGTTCAAAACAGAACTCATTGCCTGAATTTATTAAATAATAAATTTAATTAAGTGGCACCAACGCGAAAAGCGTCACAGTCCAGTTTTGAATGTTAGCAGCAGTTTTTGTTTTGAATGTGTGCCAATCATCTGTGCCCCTCTTTATGAATCCTGCTGAAGTCTGCACCCAGTCAGCACAGTCTGGAACAACAGCACTCATCTTTCTGCCTTTCAGAGCAAGCCATTTGATGTCATTCATTATTGTAATATATGCGAAACTGCTTCCGACACTGCTCTAAACAGACTACCCTTTGTCTCAATGTTTTTTTAGCCGCTTTTTCCAATTAAAGGAGTTATGACACACTTCTTTCGTAATTTAGACTGGCAGTATTGATTGCTTGGTATAGGGATCATGGAGTCATTTTTAAAATATCCATTATGAACTTGCGGAGATCAACATATTTCATATTTGCAGAAACACAGCAAGTCAAATGTCAGAAAAACAGAAACGTAGATGGACAGAATTATTATTTTACACAAGAATTTGGAGGATATTTTTACGATGGGTCTCTACATAATGCATGTAAATTAGTGAAACAAAGACTAAATGTGTTGTCAGACTGATGAATATTGATACTTTCAGACATGAATTGTAGCACAAAAACAGTTTATGGAAATCACATCCCAATACTCTCTATGAGAAATAAACATTCCTCATTCTCTTGTCATTCATATTGTATACATGTATATATGTTCAACCAGCCGGACATTGTTGTCAATAATGAAAACATCATGAAAAGGAACCAAGAGAAATATCATGGGCTCTAGTGGTAAAATGGACTTCTAAAGAAAATTGCTTGGATTGGATTTAATTTGTGCAGTAAAGGCAGTTCTAAACTTGACTTGACAAAATAACTATAAATATATATATAAACTTTTATTATCTCTTATTCAAGAAACTTTTTCCCCTTCAAACACACAAGTAAATGTGCCCTTGTGGAAAAATACACAAACTGAGATGTAATTGGAAAAAAAATCTGTGAGTAAAATTTTGGAAATTTTATGCAAGGGAAGGCTGGTAGGCAAAAACTCGTTTCCTTGACGGCAGCCGTATCTTTGCTTTTATTACTGCCCCGGTATAAGAACAATATTCAAACAATTGCAACAATTTCAGAAATCTGGATCAGCTAGATCTTAAGTATGGGAGTGAGGACACAGAAATGTGCTTAAATCCAAGATTTATAAATTTCTTCAACAAAAGAATCGTAATCTTGATTATTTCTAAATGCGGCACTCATTTCACATCCAAATAAAACAGAAAAACAAAAGCACAACATTGCCTTTCAATGCCCAGCAAATGTATTCACACTGTCAATGATATCATTTTTGTATGATTTCTTGTGGCACAACAATGCAATGAAACCCATAAGTATGAAGTGGGAGGAAAATATTTTGTATTTTTTTCACAACATTTAGCAAATCAAAAAAGTGTGGCATCCATTCATACTCAGCTTCCCAATTCACTTTTTAATTTATTTTCTGTCCTCAGGAAGTGCAGAATGATTCAATCAAATGATTTAATACATGTTCAGGTTTACAGTGTAATAGATTAATACACAACTTATGAAAGAATGTATGTACAAATACATTTTTTATAGTGTTTACATTTTTGTGAAGAACAAAGGGATGTAATTGTGGTTCTATTATCCACTCTGAGAGCTGAGCACATAAACTTGTGTATCCCAGTAGCTCCTTAATTGTAAATAAAACACATTTCCAGCAGTAGCCAAGAGGACATGAATCCAGATGCACATTTGGAACAAGTTACCTTGGAGGCCCGGGAACAGGTGTCCCCCTGCCACGGGCTGCCGACTTGCCCCTGACCGATGGCACCTTGGCATCCTCAGAGCCGCCGTTCAGGTATGTGAGCTCCTGCAGCTGGGCTTGTCTGATCTCATCATTGTAGTCCTACACACACAAGAGAGCCACACATAAACACACACATAAACACACACACACACAGCGACAGCAACTGACTCGCTTTCAATTACACTGTATTAAATTACGTCCTTTATCTCCAGGGCTACAGCTCAGGGAATATCTAATTAATGTACTTTACAGTACTGCCGTGACTGCTGTTCCTGAAGCAGCAAAACATTCAGATCTCCTGCTGATAAAACCTCAGGACCCCATTTAGCTTCATCTTCTCACACTATTGTTTTCCCCCTCTAAACTAGAACACATTAATTATCATTAAAAGAGGTCTTTAATCACAAAATACAGTTGTCATTTTTCAATGGATGGGTTTTTTTGGAGGCAGAGACAGGACGGGTCGTCAATGGGGTCTGCAGGATAATAAATGAAGGTATGCAAATTATTCTAGCTCTGAGCACGAGAGACATCAATAGTAAATAGAGGAAGAGTAAATAAGTTCTATTCTGAGGTGGCTGCCAAAGAGAGTTTGTCCCAGGAAAAAAGGTTCCCTCCTGCTCTCAGAGTCTTACATCTGCACCGCACTGACCATCTTTCCTGACGCCGATTCTCTGTCTTTTTTAAGCAACTTAAATGAATGGAAATCAATGCAATCTCCCGGTGTATGCGCGTGTGTCCCTAACTTTACAGTACTTGTGGCAGTATTGCTCTACCCAAAAGTGAGAGAATGTAATATTCATCCATTTTGCTGCAGAATTAACTTTTTAACAACCATGCAAGCAGCAATTGGGACAAGCCATGACAATAATAATGAGGCAAAAATGGCAAAAGATAAAGTAGAAAAAGGGCAAAGGCAACCAGGTAACGAATAATGATTCATGAACAAAACAAAAATATTATAAAACTTGACTTCATAAATGTGTTAACACATCAGTAAAACAACTTTGCACTGTGAGAATTGACACACCAGTCTCTGTGGTTCCAAGTCAGTGTGTCCCATCATCTTTTTATACACCCATTTACTAATAATTGCCATTTTGTCCTTTTCTACATTCATGTTGAACCATTTTGTACCCATGTACTAATTTTTCTTTGTAGGTCAAGGTTTTTTTTTTTATGAATTATGGAATTAATTTATCATAGAAAGGGCAAAAATCACTTAACTGAATGTATTATGGCCTATTTGTATTCATTTGCCTTTGATTCATATTTGGGTCAGTTGACTGTGACGAAAAACATCGTTATGGCCCAGAACCAAACCAAAATAGCTGTTTAATTCAGGGATGCTCATTGCAGCTATGAAACCTATTTGTTGCAGAAGAACATGAATAAATAATAATACATAACTATAAAATCAATAGTAGCAACAGCTGTGAAATACCGGATGGTGTCCTTTTGATTCTGGAAGAAGTCAAGTATGAATAAACCAAAATGGCAAAGGAATAAAATGACCATCACCCTGGGTTAGTGTTCCGCCAGCATTTACAAGCCGTTAATATTTTTTTCTTTCCATGTAACCAAAATGCAGATACACCAATTAAAAGTGGTGGATATTAATTGTACAATTGCATTGTACTCTTGCCAGAACAGAGGTTGTTTTTAGTCAATATAACAATTCACCTGAAGAACTACTTCCTGTCTTACTTTAAACAAGAGGCTCAAACATAGACACATTGTACAGGGACAAAGGATTTACTAGAGAATCACAGTAAGCTTAACCTTATTTGAAAACACAAAGTCAGTAGCTGACAGCTACTGAACAGCTCTTCATGAGGCAGATTTCACCTCAACAAGAGATATGATGACATGTAATATCATAAAATCTTGTACTGTGAGACGTTGTTACACCCAAAATTAAAAGCCACAATCAAAACATCAGGACAGGCATTTGGTCCCCATGTTTATGAGAAGTCCCTATAACACACGCAGGAGTTGGTCCCTATCATGAATAAAAACAAGAACATATACACACAAGGACTAAGTGAAAAAAAATCATTCAAATCCATCAACTGCAAATTAGTTAATTGGAAGAAGTTAGGTATGAGGTTGTTGAGAAGAGGAAAAATAAAAACAGAAGTGTGTGTAATGTGTGTGTTTTAGATATAGTGATGAGAACATACTGGAATGAGAAACTTCTTGATCTCCTCGAGAGCGTGGCCCATCCTGGCGTAGGCCTCAGCCGGCGGGGCGAATACCTCGATGAGGACATGTAAGTCTTCATTCAGATGGTGATATTTGGCCTCGCCGCTCTGCCGTAGCTCTTCTTCCTGATGGAACGTGACATTATTTAGTGGAAAAAGTCATGTTGAAAAAAGATTTATTGGAACAAATTCTTGGACTTACAAACAGTATGTAAAAAGTGTCACAGGGAAATATTTCTAAAACAGGATCTAAGGACAGTGTTTTCTGTAATGTGCTGCAGTTACATGAGCAACAGCAAAAATACTGATGTGTGTTGTGGCAAACTTCTGCAAACAGGCAGTCCTTAACAGCTTTCCAATTGCATCTGTCATGTTTAACTGATTGCTGTCGTTGTTACAAAACTGCCTCGCCACATAACGGATCGTGGCAAGGAGGTAAAGTACATGCTTGCATACCCTTCACCAAGATATCTGCTCTGTTTGCTGCATTTCAGCCCATCTGTCTTTGAAATCGCTCGAACTTCATTAAAATAAATTAAGTCGCTCTGTGAGAAAAGAAATGCACTGATTGATATATACTAGGCTACAATATTGATTCTCACCCCCCAAAAATCAGTGGCTTAAGAGGGTAGTCAGTTAAAAAAAAAAAATGGAACATGGAAAGGAAGAGCTGTTGCTTCTTTGTTTTGTTTCCTGAGATAGTTTGAATAAATGCAGTCTCACAGGAGTTTGGCTGAAAATTGGCAAAAGTAGCTTATTGATCCCTGAATTAAAATTAGAGAGGATTACATAATTCACAGTGACTTCGAGATGTAATCTTGCAACTTTTATAGATTTCGTCATATAACTACTACAAAAAGTGCATATTTTTAGAATTTTGCATGATAGATAACAACAATTAGTGTATAATTATAGACTGACAGAAAATTCCTTAAATAGTTTTCAAATGTTAGATAGAAATCTGGCTTTATTTGTTTATTTACAGTGTGACATGCAACATGCGACAAATGTTCAACCCCAGGAACGCTGACCAAAGTTTAAGGGAGAATGGATTGAGTTAAATGTAGACAACTCTAAACATACAGAGTCTGAAAACAAAGTCTCCAGCAAACAGTTTTGTAGATCAAATCTGAAAGAGCTTTGGAAAATATCATGAACAAAAATGTAATAAGCAAAATGTTTGATTTCTTGTGGCAACATAATACAATGTCACTGCAAAAGCTTAAAATCATACCAAGTATTTTTAGACTGGTTTCTAGTGCAAACATCTTAGTAAACTTGAAATAAGACAAACCTAATTTACAGGTAGCATTTGAGCAAAATAAAGGAGCATGGTTTAAGTAAATCATTCTCTAATATTAATGAATATTGGAGAAGTACCACTGGCAAATCATTTCACCCAAGTCTTATAAGAGAAATGATCTGCCAGTGGAATTAGTACTTTTTAAGATCAATATTGAGAAAATATTCACTCAAAACAAGCTCTTATATATTCCTGAATAGTTACTTGTTAATTAGTCTTGTCTCGTTTCAGATGTATTAACATATTTGCACTAGAAACCAATCCAAAAATACTCAGTAAGATTTTGCGTTTTTACAGTGGTCAAAAGGGACTCCCTCAAGGTCCTGCAAAATTTGTGTTTTATCATAAAGTGATACATGTGTAATTTAAAAAAGAATAAGTAAAATTAAGTAAAAAAGTCATTTTGTGTGGCTAAAAGTCCACAAATAAATCTAGATTTGATCCTTTGAGATGAATTTAGGCTGCAACACGGTGGGTCTCCACAGGTCATTCATCCTCATCAGATGCAGTCCTTTGTTATGATGTTGATTGTGAGAAATAGGACAGCAAAAAGCCCCACATCACACAAATGAAACAGGTTTGCTGTCCCAGTTTCTCAATTTTTATCAAAAAAAGGGAAAGCGTCTTCTCTGGGGTCTTTCTGGTGGCAGCAAAGACCCCTTTCCCCTCCCTTCAATCCACCAGCACGCTAACTCTGATGTCACCTAATTATAAATAACCTTCTTTTCAGAGAGCCAGTGGTATGTTAATGATATGTTAATTCCCCCCATAAATCTGTGCTTTTACGAACGCAGGGCTCCTCTGCGCTGTAGCCGTGCATGTCGGTGTGGAACGGGGAGTGTGAGCGCCGTGCTGGAAAGAGACAACTGCTCAGAAATCTGTCTCATCTCTTCCCTTTCATGTTTTTTTATGTAATCTGTGCTGCATTTGCATGAACAAATATAGGAAAAGCAATCTTTATCAAGTTCTTTCAACTAGAAAATATACATATGAGGACAATGGAGGAATTTAACAGCTTTTTATTTCACCCGATGCTTGGTTTATATTGTCTGAATGTGTGGATCAGTGATCAGCAAAGTGGAATATTGGGGATAAAACAAAATGTGCCAATATTATTTACATGTTATTCTGTAAGAAGATTTCATACATGCAGTGGACTCTCTCGGTTCTGATAAGAGTGATCCATCATCCAGTGTCCAGAGCTAAGCAGCCTATGGGAAGGGATTACAGCTGTCTATTTTTCTTATCTACTGGCAGCATCTTCCTTCTGTTTACTTTTTTCTGCAAATCTGCTTATGAAAAGCTGTTCACCCTGGAAACGGGGCAGCAGAGCGCTCTGGATGAACCGCAGAGCTCCTGTAGCCAGAGCTTTGAGGAAATGAATCATGTTACGCTTTACGGATTTAACTGGAATTTAATGATGGATATTTTTATTACCATATCCGTGATAGACGATGGTTCTACTGCAAACCTACTGTAATGATCCAACTTATTCAAGATCAAGTGCATAGAATACATAGGATTTCTTTTCTTTTTTTTTTTTTTTTTGGTCCTGCCAAGTTAAATCAAGTTCAGTTCAAAATACTTTAAGACATAAACAGATAACACAATAACCATCCATCCTTCCATTTTCTGTTCACCCTCGTCCCTATTGCGGTCGGGAGTTGCTGGTGCTTATCTCTCGCTGCGTTCCGGGCGAGAGGCAGGGAGTCTGTCACAGTGCAAGATAGAAACAAACAGGACAAACATGCACACTCACACACAGGGAGAATTTAGAGAGACCAATTAACCTAAAGGTGATGTTTTTGGATGGTGGGAGGAAGCCAGAGAACCCGGAGAGAACCCACGCCTGCACAGGGAGAACATGCAAACTCCATGCAGAAAAAGGCCTGGAATTGAACCCAGAACCTTCTTGCTGCAAGACAACAGTGCTACCAACTGTGCAGCCCACACAATAACCAATTATTATAAATCAATGAACGTTACATTTTGTCATATCATCAAAATCATCAAGCAAATACACATCAAATAAATTGATAAATGTTCCAGTTATCAATAAATGGTAACTCTAAGCAGGTGGGATTTTAGCCTGCATATAAAGGAACTCAGTGTTTCAGCTATTTTGCAGTTTTTCTGGAAGTTTTTTCCAGATTTGTGGTGCATAGAAGCTGAATGCTCCATCTCCATGTTTGGTTCTGGGGATGCTGAGCAGAACCAGAACCAGTCGATAGGTGAGGTCCAGAAGGTTGGTACAACATCACTGGCTCTTTATCTTGTTGCTAAGGCATTAATTGTCCTTGCAACCTGTCTGTTTACTACTGAAGTTAGACCAGCCACAGGTGATACACAGTTTGCAAAGCTTCATGTTGTTGACATGGCATATAAATAGGATATTGTGCTCTGGTCAGATAAGACTAAAATCAAATTTAGCCATCAGGTTAAATACAAAGTGTGGCAGAAAATTAACACACCACGTCACAGTAGAAGCTCCGTTCTGACTGCTTCTGGAACGCTTTTGTCAGAAAATTGGGAAGAGGTTATTGACTGTATACACATCCCGAGCTCCACTAAAATGTTTTTTTTTATGAAAACAAATAAACCAGGGTAATTGCAAGTCAAATTGAAAACTTTCTAAGATCTTTTTGGTCTTAAATTTCATTCAATTTAAGACTGAAAAGCTGTAAATACAGGGGATCATTGGAGAACCTTAATCAAACATAGTAAAAACTGTGAGGTTTCTAGCCTTCTTATTGTATATGCCTTAACACCCATAGAGCCAAGCTTAAAAGTGTTTTCCGCCTAGACTGGAATGGGTTGGCATAAAACACAATCCAGGTCAAAATCCAAAATCTATGGGAAGACATAAAACCTGCTCTTTCTATGACTTCCAATTAAACACTGGGTTGAGCTGCTGTTTTATGTAATTAAAGTAGAAAAAAAACATTAAAACTGTAATAAAAATAAAAAGAATACCAAAAAAGTAAACTGTGAGCCGTTTTAAAAGACTTCAAAACCCGATCAATCAAAACTGCCCTGATCAGATCTTTTCTTAGACTCCAGTTTGAAGTGTGCAGCTGTGACACCATGTTGTCAGACTTTCTTTGAATACTTTAAAGTGCTCTTTTTCAGCTGCCTTCTTTTTGTTAGAGTGATTTCAGCCATAACTGATCCAACAAGAGTGGAGAGCCACATGAATTTGTCGCAAAAAGTCTCCGCACACATTTCTGGTTCGTACAATTAGCCGCAGGTCAGACGGGAATATATGTGACAGAACAAAACATTAAAACATGCATTTGTTTCATTCTACTGGACCTAAAAGTTGAACTGCAAATACACAGACAGAAAACTCAATTGAGGACAGATGTGACATTACCTCCAGTAATTCACCCTGCCCAATACCTATTTCACCTTTTCTTAAATCGATTAAATAGAAATGCAGATGAGAAACTTTGACAGGCGTGAAGAAGTAATTTTGCAGTGATGGCAAAAGAAATGACAGACAAATGATGGAAATTTTCTCCTGCAATCATTTATATGACAACTGATTGTCTTTCTCAATCACAACAGACCTGGTAGCAGCTTTAACGTCTACAAATTTAATTCAGGTTCAGTTGTAGCGTAAAATCACATCAAGCCTTAGCAAAGTAACTCAGAGCTTCAAATCCAACCTTTAATTTACTAGGAAAGGGAAAAAAAAAGACATCAACTTATAAGATGGTGCCTGAGCCATTTATATTTAAGAGCAGTGATTTGTGATCAGATCAAAGAAAAGTGAACCAAACACGCAGTTTTAAATGGAAAAATTACATCTAAGTTGAATATACATATTCTACAATAAACAAGGGAAAGTTTTTTTACAAAGACACCATGATACTTTTCCAGTGTTGATAATAGCATAGTTAAGAGAAATCAAGTCAAGTTACTAAGAATTTCTACGATACAGGCTAAATATGTTCATAATGTCATTCCTCTAAAGTTCTTTTAAAATCCTCAACAAGCTGAGGACTTTAGACAGAACAAAACATTAAAAACAGTCTAAAAAGCAGTTTTTAGACTGTTTTTTTAGATAACAGTCTGAAAAACTACTACTAATGTGGTATGTGTTCATTCCAGATTTCTGCTAAAGAAAAAACAAAGAAACTGTCTTTCTGTTGCGTATGACTCTAACCCGGAAAATCCCACGAGTTGTCAAATGATAAACTGAATTAGGCTTATTTGATGCGAGACGGCACACAGCACGACTCCCTCTGATTTCTGGGACACTTCTACCAAATGCAGGAGGTAATTCTCCAAAAGAAACACCTTGCAAATTAAACCTGACACAGGACTTGCTAAAAATTAAACAAAGAAATTAAATAGTTTTATCTTTCTGGGGGAAAATTAAAGAGGGAGCACAGCTCCCGAGGAAGGGGAAATGGACGAGTTAATCATGTTTCTAATAAGCAAACCGTTATATCACCCTGCTCTGGAAATGGCAGGACTATCAAGCCGCCATAACGCGGCGGGGACACCGCGTCTACGAGCCGTTAGACCTCGGCGTGCGGCCACACCAACAAGGTCTCTCAGCGGTAAATATTTGCTCAATTATATCGAGCAATTGTCTCTGGCATGTAAGAGCCCAAACGGGAATGCACAGAACAATACAGTGCTGTGCCTTTAAAGAAGTCAGACTGCAATTATATTCTCTCCTAATGGGATTCACAGGGTGAAAACTGTCATTTAGCTCTTTTCAACCAGCCAAGAATAACCAAGAAAAGTGGTAGACTCTAAGAATTCATAATTAAAGTACATAAGTCAGAAGAAGCTTCGAAAGCAACAGTTTTGCTTAGGTATTCTGCACTTTCAGACGGCCTTGCATCTAAAAAAGCCTTTGAGTGCTTATTTTGCTCTGCAGTGGCCCAGTTTCTTAACCTCAGCTGGAAGTGGTATGAGCTGAAAAGTACAAGGGCACACGCTGCGACGCTGCGACGCTGCGAAACAGACAGCGTGTAAACCAGTCGAACATAAAGCAGGGGCATCACTCAGCTTCTCCCCCCCAAAAAACGGCGACTGCACAGAGGGAGGGCGGCTGATGACGGCCGTAAATCTTGCAGAAGCAAAGCTCGAAAAGGAAGATGTGTGACGACACGCACCGTCGTCACACATCTCCTCCGCTATCAGACTATTGATCGGCATAATCAGAATGAATGCGCTGTATGATAGCAAATCACTCCTGACAGAACGTCGGGTAGTGAGGGGAGACGCCGACAAGCAAAGGAAGTCGATTTTTTTCCTAGTTAGGCCATTTGAAGCGCAATCAATTTTGCAGCTAAAGATCTGCTGTTGGCGCCATTTGTATCTTTCCTTCATGTGCCGACATGATGGCAGATGATGGAAGTCACTCGGCTGGTTTGTGTTTGAAATTTAAGTCTAATATCTATAGTCTCGGCGCTAAAGAAGATCTTCCCCAGTCTGAATTCACATAAAAACAACAACAAAAAAGACATCAGTCAAGGTAATGTGTTGTTTTGTGTATCCGAGCTGACTGCGTGTGCTTTGCTCTGTGATGGAGCACTTGGCTTTGAAGGATCTCGAGCGCGTTTGGTGATCCCTGGGATCCTTCTCATTTCCATAAACTTTTGAAATTTTGTTTTTAAGCTGGAACAGTTTTTGGCAAAACTCTTAACACGCAGCCTATGGATCCTGAGAGCCGTCAATCAAGCGAAATTTGAGGCACCGAGGTGACCGGAGACGTGGAGATGAGAGAAGGACGCGTCAAGCACGGTTCCTTTCAAGTTACAGAGGCAAAATGAAAGACAGCCCAGACTTGAGAGATAAGGAAGATTAAGGGGAAGTTTGTTGAAGTTTTCAAAGTTTCTAATCAGAACTTAATTAGGCTCATTTTCACTATGCTCTGTGTCAGAACTGAAAAGATACTGACGTAAAATTTACTTGAATTTCTCATTAAGAATTGTGAATTAAGTAAGTATTAAAGTTGACTTGTAACAGTTGCTACAAGTTGATTGGTTGACATTTTAGCTCCAGAATCCTAACCAAACACAAAGAAGCAGGATTCAGCATCTATCCACAACAAATCTGGAACAAACTTCCAGAAAAGAGCTGAAACACTGAGTTCCTTTAAATCAAGGCAAAAACTCTTTGATTAGTAGAAAGTGGAAAATTTGTCAAAGTATTTAATGTGTATTTGCTTGATGATTTTGATCTTGACAGTGTCGTGTTTATTGCTCGTTTCATAATTGGTAACATCGTTTTATGAGGTAGAGCACTCGCTGCTGAGATTTAATATACAAATAATTTAATAATTTAAAAATAAATTTACCGACTAAGTAAGTTAGAGAGAGTTCTTTCGATAAACTCAATATTTTTGAGAGAGAGTCTGGAGAAACAGACTTGAATTTGATTTTTTTTATTTTTATGAACTAATTATATTTTCCAATTCAGCAGTTCAGAATACTCGGTAATTGCTTTGCCGCTCTCAAGCCATTTCTTATCTTGTATACTTGAGTTTATTCAACATTTTTGTAGAACATCAGGTCCTGTTGATGTGCTCCGTTTTGTTACATCCGTGTGTAGTGGGATAAAGAGTATTTAAGGTGTATTTTTTAGCATATTTAAAGTTTGGAGTTGGATATTATTGAGAAACATCAGCATTGGCTCTCTCTATACAGAAATGTCATACATAACCTATAATTATGCTATGATTATTCATATGGTTTATGGGCGGTCGTCTTTTCCCAAAGAAGATTTCTTTACAGAGAAAAGGACAAATTCTAACCTTTTAGAATTCATAACTTGATGTCTTACTGTATCATTTCAAGGGTGAAGACAAGCATGATATGCCCAAAAAAGCTGTGCAGGGAAGCTTAAATCTTACTGGAATGGAGAAAAAAAACGACATTGTGAGGGAAAGCAAGTTAACAGCACACAGTCATCTCACCTTCAAACCTCGGTAAGAGTGGGTAACAGAGCACAAAATGAAATATACAGGTGAAAGAGTCAAAGCAAAAATGAAATACCACACTTCAGGGTTACCTTCTCTTTGTCTCTCATGGATCCTTTTCCGAGAATCGACATCTTTGTGAGGGTGTCCTCTTGTAGTCTCTTTAACGAGTTCCCGCGTGGCCCGAGGAGCTTGCCGACAAAGTTAAACTGCAACAGAGAGAGAGAGAAAGAGAGGAAGAAAAAAAAGGAGAGGAGAAAAGGAAAGAAGAGAGAACTGGGATCAGAGCCTGTGTGTCTGAGATAAAAACAAAGCAAAGATTTGTCTTCTGTCAAAAAAATGTAAAAAGACTGACGCTAATAAAAACTTTTCAACTGCTTGTCCTGTTTTGCATTTTGATCAAATCAGTGTGGAGGGATTTCTGAGGTTTTAGTGTCACTTTGTCATCAGTTCTGATCTCTGGCAGCACAAAGGTATTTTATGGCTTATCCTCTTCCCTTAACTCCTGTCAGTGAAATCTTTGTTACTACAGTACAAAAAGATTTCACTCACTTTTTGTACTGTAGCAATGTTTGTCCTTAGCTGTGTTAGCAAGACACAACTGTTCATTCACAGTGGATTGCAAAGTATTGAAACCACTAGAATTTTTTTCCGTCATATTGCTTGCATGTTTAACGTTTATCGCAATAATTTCTGGGACAATTTATTGTTGTTAGCATGGAAATACTTTTTACATAGATAAGAACAACAATTGTGATTAATTGGCTTATTTGGTAGTTCTGATATGGAGCAGATGTTCAGATCAAGAGGTCATTAGTGTTCCAGAGAAACTCCAACACACACTCAGTCAATGGGCAGCCAAGAATCTTGATGCAAACCAACATAGTTATTTGGATTGGTCAAAACTTCGCCCCCTACACTTTAATGTCACTGGGGAGCCGTAAAAAGAGCCTGTTGACAAAGAACAGGGAGATTTTGGGATTTTGAGATTTTGGGGGATTTTGGGGAAAAGACTTTGGAAACAATGTTTTCGTATAGATGCATCCGTGGTAGATGTGTTAATAAATCTCCCAACCCGTCGTGGCTGGCAGTAAAGGATTTGTCTCTGAGTTTTATGTGTTTATCCCTATATTTGAGAGTTTTGCGCCTTTCGATTCTCCAATATTGTCCGGTAAAATTTGTTAATGTTGTCACGTTATGAGTCAATACTTGAGTTCCGAACATGACAAATGGACTACGTATGACTTTCTACGTCTGTTCACTAAAGCTCTAAGAAATTAAAAACTAATTCCATGACTCCTGAAGATCATTGGCTGCACTTGGTTTTCAAAAAGGATATGAAGACTTTTTCCAAGACTCTGAAACGACACTGATTAAAACTGAAACATTTTCACTTCGTTATATTCCCAGCAGTGTTTCTCGCTTACAATGAAGTCTGGCTGCTACCTGGGAAGCAGAAACCGGGACAAAAAAAAGAAAGTGTTTGGAAACGGCTCATCAAGGAGTGAGGGGACATTGTTCTGAGAGATAAAGCACATTAAAAACACACTGAATATGAACCTGACTGGAGACCATGTTACTTGTGTTTCCTTGTTTTTTTCTCCGTTTTGTTTTGGAGCCTGGGAATTATGTGGATCCAAGACAAATCTCCCCATGGAGAAAATAACTTGCACTGCAGCAGCATAATTAAGTACAGGCACCAATTCACCTGTTTTGGTTTAACCCAATTTTATTCATCGACTCAAACTAGTTTTAGAAACCTAATCATTTTAAAACGTCTCTACAGGGTCTCTCATTTATGCCAGCAGCACTTTGCAATTACAATCTGTGTAAGAACCGTTTTTTGTTACAGAAGACGTAACGAGTAGTCAAATAATTTCTCTTGCGAGAAACGGTTCAAAACATCCTGTTTTGTTGTCATCTGCTCATTATGAATCATTCCATATATGAAAACATTCAGCATTTAATACAGCTTTCGGACATTTTGAGACTAAAGTCCAGTTTTGGTTAGTTAAAGTCCAGTTTTGGTTAGTTAGCAGATGCAACAAACTTAGATTAAAAGTTTTGTTATCGGTTGAAAACTGGAGTAAAAAGATGTTGGTTCTCCCGAGGCAGGTGGTTGATGACCTTCCTCTGTGCCAGACAAACTCCACCTGAAGCTCTTCAGCTACAAGGAAGCTTCAAACTGAATCCATGTTTCAAATTATGACAACGACAGAACGGAGACACAGTCATAGTGACTTCTAGATGCTGCAACATCTCGGCAGGAAACATTATTTTGATTGGTCCTAAAATAAATCTGACCTGACCAAACCTGTAAATTTGACCCCAATCCAACCCGACTAGATCTAGAGACCCAGGCCCGACATAAACCGAATATTATTTGAAACTTTTACCAGTTCTCTGCAGACTTTGCTCTCTGCAGCCTGATTATTGCAACTTTCCTTCTTTTTAGCTTTTGCTTAATGTCTTCCAGCTTCATTTTCTGTCTTTGGTACAACAAACAAGAAATTTTTTCTTTTTGATTCTTGCTTATCAAGAAGGGTAACGACATGAAAAAAAAGATGATAAATATCTATTTTATGAAAAGCTTTTTCATACTCCAAACTTGATGTTGAAAGTGAAGAATTATAACAAAGGCAGTGTTTAGTAAGGCCTCAATTTAAGTTTGCCTTTTAATTTTCAGAAGTCAATGCATGCTTAATTTTTTTATACTTCAAACTTGAGACTTAGAGTGACATTTGAGTTGTATTGTATTTTAAGGAATAAAATATTTACTTTTTCATTCTTTTACTAGGGTATGTAACTACTACAGAATGGGAAAAGTTTTTATTCAATTTATTACTAAATTAATCATCGGAATAATAGATTACTCAGTTACTAAAGTAATCGTTAACAACAGCCCCACATTCATTAAAAAATGTATATAGACTGTGGAGAGGCAAGTAATCAGAGTTTCTACAGTCATTGATTTACCAGGAATCTTTCATGTTTCCTTCAGTTTATAGAGATGCTATTTTTTATAGGTAGTAGATGAGGAGCTGAACCGCTCTTCTCTACATTGTATTCAGAAAGGAAGAGCTTAGTGGCGAATTCCTGCCAGCAAGAACGCAGTCCTCAGTAGTGATGCACCGATCTGATCGTTTTCGGTCCTGGAGTCGAAAACAATTTGAGATCGAGTAGCGGTGACAGTGCACTCAATCAAAAGGGGCGGATCTGTCTGGCGTCATGATTTATTATTAGTTTGACATTGTATTTAGAATCCCTAGTTGTATTTCCTGAACCATTTGAAAGAAGATTTCAAAGTTTATTTTTTGCATGTTTGGCCAAAGTAGCCAACCTTCTGTTTTTGTCAGTTTCAGTTTCTTTATTGTTCTATTTCTAATTGAACTGACTAACCAAAATAAAGTTGCATTGTTTTTAAATGTTTGACCAAACTTATGATTCCACTGGTGTATTTTAGTGTTATGTACTTGTGCAGAATATCAAATAAATTTGTAATTCAGTACATAAATGTATGTTTTAAAAAAAAACAATTTATGTTAATTTGGTGCTATTGTTCTGTAATGAAACTGTATTCGATACAGTCAACACAAAATTTCAGATATCTGTAAAGTATTGGAAGTGAAAAAGTGGATCGGTGCTGACTTTTAATCCCAATGAGACTTACCTCCAGCGTTTCCTCAGCTTTTGAAATATTGATGTCAGGTGACCGTGTGAGGTCACACGGCACAAACATCCTTTGGAAACAACTTTTGGGATAAAAGTCAGCTTAAAATCACTGGAAAAAACTAAATGAGCAGTTCCTCTAAAGGAATCCAATTCACCAAACAAACTTTAAAAGGAGACAGAAGCGTTTAGGCATCAGGGGTTATCAGGAAATGTGCTGAGTTCAACTCATGTAAAGTGCATCCATCATTTCCACCTGGATACAGTCTTGATCGCCGAGCTGTGCTATCCTTCAAACAATGGTTTGCAGGGGCAGGATTGCACCACGGCAGATTTTTTTTCCCCCCTTTTTGCCCACCGCATCCCATCCGCCTGACAGGCTGCGGCTGGGATGTTGTGCCCGGGATCGTTTGTGGAGACATCTCAGCCTGCTGACTTCCAGCGGCGAACTCGCCGATGGGTAAAAATGCTCGAACAAGCAGAAAAGCTTGTTTTCTGATGGAGAACAAAGCAACACCGTGATGCTCCCCGCATCACAGCGCAGGAGCCATGTCAACTGCGCGTCAACTTGGGAATTCAAATAAGTACTTTCGGGAGTAAAGGAAAACAGAAAAAAGATGGTGAATTTGAAGGGAACACTGGCAGATATTCACTCTGTTTGCAGTAAGATTTCCGTTAAGGCCACCGAAACAGAGACTGTGAAGGGAAAAGAGAGAGAGAAAAAAGAAATGTCCCAGCGCTCTCAGTTTGAAGTCAGATGTAGCGCAGTTCCTCATTACTCTGCACAAATCAAGCGATCGGCTGTAATACTGGGAAACTCTCCCTCTGATATCCTCTGAGTAACCTACTATATTATTTACACAAGTTCATTATGTCTGATCTTATAAATGAAGTGCCTAATTCAATATTTCAGAGTCTTGCTTCACCATCCCAGCGAAGATTGTTCAAACGCTTTGCAATAACTACCAAAAATACAAAGTTCAATCTACTATGGGCTTGTTTGTCTTAAATAAAAAATATGAAATGATTTTTATAATGATTTCTGCTGTTTTTGTGGGCTCAGCAATAAATTTCATGAGCAATCTTTAAATGAATGGCTATGCTAAGATATGTTTCGGAGTAAAATGTGTGTATATTTCTTACTGTTATATTTAAGTGAAACATGGACATTAAAATATTTATATATACATACAGTGTTGAAATAAAAAAATAATTTAATTGCATGACAAATTAAAACAAACGCAATAAGTTACATTGGCGTAATTTATCATTTAGCTATGTTTTCCCCTATTTTCATACTTTGGTCTCAATAGCTCTTTTTTGAAGGATAATTTTGGTCACAAAGAATTCATAATTCATTTTATTTCTTTGTTGTTGTTTTTTTTTTTTGGGATATTTAAAATGTCTTCCAGTTCCAGTGTTAAATGTTCATTAGCATTTAAAGTTTATTGATCTTTGAGAATGTGTTCTTGCATTTTTACAGTTATATTAATCAAAAATGGTCTCAAAGTCACATGATCAATTCTCGATTATCACAATA